AAAAGCTTTTACAGCTAAGACAATTTGGTTATTGTAGATTATTGTTTTTAATGTGTAAACTTGCCAAAAACTTGTTTGGGTTTTGTTTTGTTGAGAATTTACAAGTGTATAGAAATCCCTAATTATTGGCTTTTTACACCATGATAAATTTAAGCTTGAGAAATAAATCCTGGAAAAGTTTTTCCTAAGCTGTGATTAATAAAACTTGCTGTTTGAGGTAAAAGTTCATAGGATTTTTTGAGTTGTCTGATGGGTCATAGTCTATCAATAATCAATAATCTACCATCTGAGAGAAATGCCACAAGCTACTCAGAGAAAGTGATTCTGATGGGAAGTCAGCACTGGGAAAAGCTGAGAGGACAATTTTAGCCCCAGTCTAAGATGGGATCCTCTTGGCTCAGTTTCCCCTTTATGTTCCTTTGAAAGGGAATGTTACCCACCTGGCTATTCCTGAGTCTGGCTGTGAGGTGGATTTGATACTGCATAGTTGAAAAACTGAATTTCTGAATCTAAACAGACCTAAGGATGTTTTATCCTCTCAAAGTTGGGCCCTAAATCTAGTCTCTGCTTTATATCTGGGCCCTGCAGTTTTTTCTCAGATTTATGTCTTCCAGACTATGGGTCATTCACCTACAGTTGATAGCAAACAGTGAGTACTAGCCAATGTCCCACATCATTCCCTGGATGCAGCTTGTGCTCGGTTCCAGTCAACCTCCTCTTTGGGACACCCTCGAGGCAGGGACAGGTCTATGCCCCTTGCCAGCAGGAAGCAGTTTCAGAAGCTGAGACCTTCACCCCTTACTCTAAAATAATTTGGGTCCCATTTGTTTGAGGGGGGAACGATGGGGTTGGGATCTGGGCCCCTGAAAGGAAAAACCCTAGACTTTCCCACTTGGCCAAATCTCTGGGATTCTCCTGAGGCTATAATTCCATACTTCCCTATGGCCCCAGGCCACTTCCCACCCTTAATCATATCTGGGCTCCATTCTCCCTTGGTCATCCCTGGAGTTCTATTACCTCATAGACTACTTGGCCATTCCTAGATCCCTCTCACAGTCTTTCTGTACTTAAGGTCCATCTTACCTCCATTAAGATGCTGGGATTCCTATAATCTAGCCACTGGTCAGATTCTTATAATCTAGCCAATAGCTTACTAATGTTCAGACTCCATTAAGAGTCTGCCCAATATGATGGATATTCTAATAAACCTTGTCTTTGGCTGAAAAAAAATAAAGGACCTATATACAGAACAATTGAAGATTATAAAGGATGGATAACAGTGAGAATAATCTACTGAAGATGATAAGTGGGCAACTAGATGAAGCAGTGGATAGAGTGCCAGACCTGGAGTCTGGAAGACCTCATTTCAAATCTAGCCTCAGATACTTCCTAGCTATGTGATCCTAGGCAAATCACTTAACCCTGTTTGCCTCAATTTCCTCATATTTAAAATGAGCTGGAGAAGAAAATGGCAAACCACTCCAGTATCATTGCCAAGAGTCAAAAAAAAAATTGTAACCCAAAATAATGGGGTCAGAAAGAGTCTGATATTACTGAAAAGACTGAACAACATATAGAATAACTGGTCTTGGCAAGATGATAAATGAAGTCTAGGAGCTGATAAGATCACCAAATGAGATAACACAGAGAGAAAAAAGAAGAGGACCCAAGACAAAAACTTGGGTGTTATACCCAGAGTCTCCTCTCCAGAGACTGAGGGGAAAAAGGAAATAGTATAATTTGATGCTTAGGGATTTTGAAGTGAGGAAGATGAGAGAAGATGTAGATGTCATGGAATGAGATAGGTCTTTATCTGAGAGAGTAGGACAAGGGGTGGGGATTTTGTGGGAGGCTTGAGAAGAAAATAGAATAGCTGATGTGTGTCAAATAGTGACTAAATTAGGGAGGAGTAAAAGGATTAGCATAGTATATTCAGCAAGTCACACTAAAACAGGTATTTCATTGAAAACAGGAATATAAATTTATTAAGCAAAGAGAATTAAAAGATACATTATCAGATTTGGAAAATTTTTACTCAAAGACAAATATTCTGTTCATCAAAATAAGAATTATCTCAATCAGATAAATGTTTTGCCTTAGGAACTTAGCTTTAACAACCTAAATTGCACCATAAATACCAAAGTCAGGTAGAAGAAACTATCAGAGGCAAATGACAAGGGCTAAGATTCATGACAGAAAGAAGCCATACACACAGTTAAAGTACTGGGAAGAGAATTATAGGCTTCCATCTGTAGTAAAAGGACTTGTAGAAAGATAGGGCAAAGCAATGTGGACATTTTTCCCCAAGGACCTATTAAACCATTATTGATGAGGTAGGTTGGATCTTCTAGCCAGATAGAAAAAATAAAAAGCGTCTCTGATCCTCTCAAACCTCCAAAAAGAGAGGAATGACAGACAGATGGAAACACTGATGGAAACAAAGAGGGAGAGACAGAAGGAGAGGGAGAAGAAGAGAGAGAGGGAGAGAGAGATTACAATTGTCATCTGAGCTCCTAAGCCAGCTGGAGGAAAGAAAGGGGAGGAAAAAAAACATAAAATTATCCTTTCCAAAACAAAAGAAGCAAAATATGGGAGTATGAAAATGAAGAATCTATGTTGAAAACAACTTGCTTCTTATTCTTCTGTGTGTATATACATATAAATATACATATATAATATATATATATTTTCGAACTGCTTATGGATATAGGAATACCATTATCCTATCTTTAGTTCTTCATGTTTTCCTCGTAGCGATGTAAGTATTCTTTGTTCTATCACATCACTTTTAAATTTTAGTCTGGCCTTGCAAAGCCTTTGTCTACTTTACAGACAAAAATTAGGCACACAAAAAAACTTTGGAATGCTTAGCTTCTTTAAGATTAGCCTAGTTTACTATCTGACTACTCTTCATTCTCCTCAGTTGGTTCATTATCCATCATGCCCACTAATCATGGGTGTCCACCAAGGCTTTGGTCTGGGTTTTCTTTTCTTCTGTCTCTGCATCCTTCTCCCTCGGTGATCTCCCCAATTTCTGTGAGTACAATCATCTTTATGTGTCTAATCCGTAAGTCTTCATATGCATCCTTTTCTTGAACTCAAATTCTATATCAGCAATTATCTGCTGGGTATCTCCTGGAGGTACTGTCAGTACCTCAAACTCAACATACGCAAAATAGAAATCAATATCTACCCCCTCTATGCCTCCCCTCCTAATGCCTCTGTTTCCGAGTCTCTGTTGCTTAATATTATCACAATGACACTGGCAGTGACTATAGAAATAAATCTGTACACGGGGTGGGGGGGGGTCACTGCTTCTCTTCTTCTGGGATAGAGACAAATTTAAAAAACAAGTTGTGTCTGAGGAAAAGGCATAGTAAAGAGATAACACAGGAGCATGTAAACTCCAGACACACTAGAATTTGGGAACCAGTTAGCCAGGTATATCTGATTAAAGGAATTTAATTTTTTAAAATAATATATACTAGAACCTCTAAGAAATCCAAGAGATAGTGAGGAAAAGATCCTGGAGGAAAGCAGGAACTCTGAAATATATAATATTTATGAGGCTACCTGTGACTTAGTCAAAAGGATGAAGTACCTGATTTAAAAAAAAAAAGAGAATTAGAAACGTAACTTTTTTTCAAAGAAATATAGTTTTCAATTGATAGAATGGTCACAAAGCAGACATCAGAGCAGATTGGAAATTTGGGAACAAAATCAACACTGGGGTGAAAATATTAAATGTGTAATTTTGACACCTACTGTGAAGCCATGATTAAATTGTGAATCTTCTTTTGTTATTTTCTCTTTTAAATCCAGTGTCTTTATTTGGAGATCTTTCAGACAATGTAGATTTTCATCTGTCAGGGATGATTTTAGTGGAATCTTGTCTGAGGCAGGGCTCAGAGTGATGTCTTGTATACAGTAGTAAAGTGTCCTATCAATATTTATTGACTAATTGAATTTTAAAATTCAAATTTATTGACTGATAATTAAAAATCCTATTGAGGCCCTGTTAGTTCAAAAAGTCGAGTTCTGGAATGCTTTTGTCTGGTCAACTTAGCCCTACAAAGAAATGGAGTCATTCAAAATACAGCCTTAGACAGAGGTGGGGAACCTGAGGCCTCAAGGCCACATGTGGCCTTCTAGGTCTTTGGGTACGGCCTTTTGACTGAGTCCAAGTTTTACAGAACAAATCCTTTTATTAAGGGGATTTGTTCTATGAAGTTTGGATTCAGTCAAAGGGCTGCACTTGAGGACTTGGAGGGCCATGTGTGGCCTTGAGGCCGCAGGTTCCCCACCCCTGCTTAGAGCTGACAGCTACCTCATCTAGCATAGAGGTATCCAACAAGCCACTGGCTTTATGCAGCCTATGACACTCCTGAGTGCAGCCCAACCAAATTAAAATGTAACTGGGAAATAATGAAAAAAATCAATAAAAATACAACAAAACATAGACAATATTACATTTTAAAACTAAGCCAATGTGGCCTTAGAGATCCTTAAGTATGGATTAGTGGTCTCCATTTCTATTTGAGTTTGACACCATCAAATTCTAGCTCAACCTTTTTTTTTAATTGATGAAGAAACTGAAACACAAAGAGCTGATAAGACTTGCCCAAAGTCACTCTGTTTTTTAGAAATTGAGCCAGGACTGGAACCCAAGTTTCATGATTTTTAGGCCAGAATCCTTTCCCTGACACTGTAGCCCGTCTTTCATGATAGTTATAAGCTACCTTATACTATTTCCCAAACACTATCTATCAAGGATTGCAGATCACTGATGTCAACATAGAACCTCCCAAGTGGGGCTTTCTCCCGAGAACTTCTGACATCTTCCGTAACAGTCCACAACAATGTTAAGGATGGCGTGGTGGCAGTGGAGATGTCTGAAACTGGGCAAGCCGCTGCCCTTCCAGAGCTTCCCAATGGCAGATTAAAGCTAAGAAAGAGACCCAGGTATTTGAGTTGAGTGATTCGACCAGACGCCCCCAGCTATGACCAGTTCTCCTGTCTCTAGAGTTGTCTACAATAGCAAAAGGAATAGTAGACCCTGGTCTCCAAGCAACAGCTGTGAGATCTTTACTCCTGCTGATCAGGAGAACGTTTGCTTCATCTACGAAGCATAGCAATGTGTGGAATGAGACCTCCAGAACCAGATGTCTGGCAGCAAGCATGGCCTGGTAAAGGAGTATGTGGAAAAGGTCACTAACTCCAGGCTGAAGACTTTCAAACCTTTTGACTTGAGTGACCTGAAATCCCAGAACATACGAGATGCCAAGAAGTCCTAAGGACAGCGGCCTGGTTGCCCCCTTCCTCCCCATAGCTTCTGGAAGATTGAAAGTTGCAGAATTTATGTTGGTTTTTCTCCCTTTCCTCTGGGTCCATCTCCCTGGCAGGGCAAGTAAAGATCCATGCTCATGTTGGGCTGAGCACCTGCGAGGATGGACTTGATTGGCACTCCAAGCCTTCCCTCCCCTTTTCTTACTTCCTTTTTCTTTAGGGAGGTTCCCAGTTGTTACTGTGATTTGGGGGACTTGGTCCCTGTCACCACCCATCCTCTCTTTCTGTACTCTAAACATATACGTCTCTGGAGCTGCCTAGCTCTGTCTGCCCTCCAGGCAGCCTAGAGCCCTCATTTTCCCTCTTTGGCTTTTAGAGGCCAAGGCAGCTGAGCATGGCATCCCTCCCATCTCTCACTATACTTCTGAGATTAAGTGGAAGGAGCAAGGGACATATGGGCGTTCTGAGACCAGTGGGAGTTGGATCAAATTAGTTCTCTAAGGTGGTGAGGTTAAGTAGCGGTAGCCCCATCCTTCTACAATCTGGTTCCACTGTAGAAATCTGCTGTTGCCTCTGTCTTGGGCAAGCTGAGAAGTCTCCATTCTTCCTTCCTTAGGTCTCTAACTGAGGCCCTTTCCCTGCTTTCCAAACCTTATTGGCCCCAGCTCCCTCACGCCTGGGTAGCCAGCTAGGACCCATTCCCTACAGGGTTACCAGGCAGCCATTCCGAGTCTCTCCTAGACCAGCAGCTTCTCTCCTCAGTAGCCTCAGTGGCTGCCACTGCTCCTTTGTCTATCCTATTCCCAGCTGGTAATTTTATTGAGAGGTTTACCAGTAGTTTCCCTTTTTCTTTCTGTTATAGTTTGAGAGCTGAGTTGTTTGCCCTGTAGCCTGAGGGGCTGTAAATAAAGATGGGGTTAGGCATTTGGGAAAAAAAAAAACAAGGTTAAGGATGAAGTAATGAGTGCAACCAGGTGGCACAGTGGCACAGATAGAGTGCCAGCCCTAGAATCAAGAAGACACATCTTCTGAGTTCAAACCCTGCCTCAGACACTTACTAGCTATGTGACCCTGAGCAAGTCACTTAACCCTGTTTGCCTCAGTTCCTCATCTATAAAATGAGCTGGAGAAGGAAATGGCAAACCACTCTAGTATCTTTGCCCCCAAATGGGGTCAAGAAGAGTCAAAAATGACTGAACAACAACAGCATCAAATCTTGGCAACCAATCATCATTGCTTTACCCTCTCCTCAATTAACAAGGGCAGACTTCCAAATAATGACCATTTTTCTACAATGCCAATGCAACCCTTCTCATGCTTCTGTTTCTGGAACATTTGGAGTCATTGCAGGGTGTCGCCATCAATGTGCTTTAGTCTAGTGTTCTGTTTTCTAAGAGGCTGGAAGCACTCCCACAAACACAAGGCTGTTTGTCTCAGAAATCTATTTGAAAATTTCCTGGCCTTTTCCAGTAGGAAAAGAGAATTTGCCAATTCCCTCTGTCTCTCCTCATTGTTTTCCCAGCAGGGCTGTTTGCACATTGATACTGTTCCTTACTGAAGTTGTGTTCCCATATTTCTGGTAGATTTCACCAATCCACCCCACAGTCAGATTCTCCTGCATTTTGGTCTGCTGACAAAACTCTGTGTGTGCTCACATACCCTTTATTCTTTCATTGTGGCATGCTTGGCTCACTTGAAGAAGCTGCTTCAAAAGGGGGTCTATATCCTCTGCTATGACTGACTCGCAATTATTCATGCAAATGGAGGAAACAGAACTCCTTCCACCCCCGCCACCCTCCAGCTCTTATTGTCTAGACTATCATGCGATGCATAACTCTGCACTGCCTGGCTCCTCTCTTGCTGCCATTACTGACAGCTTTCCCATTGTTTCCTTCTTTTCTATTACTAAATTACTCATGAGTCTTTTTCTTAGCTCTCTAGCCATACTTGGTAAGCTTCTCAGGGGCAGAGAATGCGTGATCTTTGTAAGCCATGTGCATGGCTTTACTTGACAGAGCAAGGAGGGAGTGTGGCAAGCACTCCACTCTCATGAAAGAATGTTGCCTCAGGCAAGCAAGCCGAGGTTGGCAAACCAGCACTTCCCTGAACACATCTGCTCCCTTGGAGCGTGCTCTTCCTGACTCAGGGCTTGCTTCCACAGGTTTTGAAAATGACTTTCTACTCTTGTTTTAGACCTCCTGCCTCATCCAACAGTTTTAACATTCCCAGTGAAATCTGTTTGACCAGAGACTGTCTCTAATTTATTTTCTCTCTGATTACTACTTGAATCATATCTATGTTTCCCAGAAAAAATCTACAGTTCAATTCAACAAATAGTTATCGAGTACCTGCTATCTGTGGAGCATTAGGGGATGCAAAGGCAGAAACAAAACTGTCCATGCCATTAAGAGACATACATTTTACAAGGTGGGGAGACAGAAATTCAATTCGGGTCAACAAACTTTTACCTTATGAGCAATGTGTCAGACAAAACATCATGCTAGGCACTGGGGAGACAGAGTCCTCACCTTCAAGGTGCTTATGCTTTACTAGAGGGATATAACATGTTCACAGAAAAAGAAATATGAAGTATTTAAAAATATTATAAGGAGGGAAACAGCATCAAATCTAGAGGTGCCAGGAAAGGCTTCCTACAGAAAGTGGCACATGAGCTTTAAGGAACAGATTTTAAGAGAAAGAAAGAAAGAGAGAATATAGTCCCAGAAATGGTTCATGGAAGTGGTCAATGGAATGTCACACACAGTTGAATGGTTTGATTGAAGAAGAGAGTACAAGCTGGGGAGTAATAGAACTTTATAAAGGTAAGTGAGAGTTAGATTGAAGAAGGTTTTAAATTCCAGTCTGGAGATTTTGTATTTTGTTCTAGAGGCAATAAAGAAACAATGAAGTTTTTGAGTGGGAAAATAGCAAAGATCAACATCTTCAGACAAACAAACTGGCAATTATGGGGAAGATAGAGTCAAGAAGAGACAGAATTGAGGCAGGAAAAACAATTAGGAGACTATTGCAAAAGTCCATGAAAAAAGGGAATGAGGGCCAAAACTAAGATGGTGGTCTTATGAAGGGAAAGAAAAGGAGAAATCTGAGAGCTTTTGTATAATCCATTGGACTCAGATACTGATTAGTTAATAGGTGGGGAGAGAGTCAGAGAGACAGAGGGAGAACAAAGAATCAAAGATGACTCAGAAGATGTAAGCCTAAGGATGTCCTCAGTAAAAACCAGGAAGTTTGGAGGAAGGATGTTGTGTGGTGGATAGAATGAGTATTGTTTGGGACATTATAAGACATCCATGGAGACACTGGAACAGCTAATTGGTAATGAGGAGTTAAAATTTAGAGAGGCATTGGAGGTGATTGAGATGATCTAAAGAACGGAGATAAAATGTAAAAAGATAAAAGGAGTGAGGACAAAGACTCAGGTTATATTCATGTTTGGTGTATAATGATTCAGCAAAGCGGGTGATCAGAGAAAAAGCTGAGTCAGAGAAACTCAGAGAGAAGCCTAAGTATCCAGAAGAAGGTGATGAACTGCAATGTCAAAAGCTTCACAGGGATAGAGTAAAAGGAGGACAAAGACTATTAGTTACAGCAGTCGTTAGCCTGTGAATCACCTTGGACAGAGAAGCTGCAGTTGAATCATCTGGAAGCCAGATTGCAAGGGACTGAGGAGTGAAAGGCTTTCTAGCTTGGCATACCAGAAGCCAAGCTGGCAAGAAACTTAATGTTACCACCTTGCTAGAATGAAGCACCCCAGGAGGACTTTGGTGAAGAGAACTCAGAGTTGATTTACTTACTCCTTCCCTGACTAGGCTTAGGTAGAATCTTTATGTAGCTCTATTGAGCTCTTTGCCATAAAAATTACTTATGTGTATGCATATATGTATGTATGCATGTATATATATGTGTGTATATATGTATATAAATATATATTCATATGTATATCACTTTAGATTTTTCAAAATATATTTACATTTATTATATCATTTCATCCAACAAGATAGGCACTATGCTTATCCACATTTAACAGATGAGGAAACTGAGATAGAATGAAGATAAATGGATTTTCCAGGATCACACAGTTATTAAGTGTCTGAAACAATAGATCTTCCTGACTCCAAGTCCAATGGTCTATCTATCCAGTGCACAACCTAGTTTCCCATGTAGATATTACTGCGACAGCACATTCCAGATGTGATACATCTGCCATTGTTCCCCTCGCTCATCTTCATGCTCTTACCAAGCAGAGCTGGTCAACACTTCTCCTGATGTAGCTCACTTTTCTGTCTCTATGTCTTTGTTTACACTCTCTTCCCCAACCTCCCATCTTTGGGATGTTATTCAAAGACCAGTTTAAATATCAGATTCTCTACGAAGGCCTCATTGAGTGTCTTAGGTTATATTGACACTTAGTAGACAATGGGATAATGATTCAGCAAAGGGAAACCAAGAAAGAGTTCTGTCATAGAAAGTTGGAGAGGAACACTAAGTATCAGGGAGGAGGGAGCGGTCTACAGTGTCAAAAACTGTAAACTAATATCTGTTGTATTTCTGGTACTTTTTTTCTTTAACATATATTCTGCCTTGAATTATATCCCTATTTCATTAAAAATCCTTGGGAACAGGAACTATGTCTTATTTATCTTTGTATTCCCTCCCTCATAGTGCTTAGCATAGTTCTCATCCACAATAAATGTTTGTTTAGTTGTAGACAAGATGGAGAAATGTGGTCTGGCTTCTAGATTCCCTATAGTTCCAGTAAAGGTTCTCAAGCCATACCTGGAATTACTCAGACATGTGGAGGCTGACCACATCACTAACCACAGAGCTTCTTGGAATCCATAATTTCCAAATTCCACCATTCCTTAAACCAGAGTGCCCAGAACATCCACATGTCTTCATGGTGAAAGAAGGGCATTAAGACCTAGCAATAAATGTATATGAATTTTAATTCAGTATTATTATGCCATAACAAATGATGAAGACGATG